GCCTGTAGGGTTAAATATTTAAAGCTTGAATTCTAGAGTGCAACTCTTCAGCAGTATGTTGTTCAAAAAAAAGCCCTGTATTTCCTAGGTCTTTTGGAATTTTCTTGTGTCCTCCCACATCCCATTTCAGTGGGAGACAGATGCTGATTCCAAAGACCTGAGCTGTGTTGGCCTCTGTGTGATGCATTAATGTGCTGCACAAATTCAGTGTTAATGGAAAGACCCTTTCTTTCCCCACTGTTTCTGTAAGTGTGTGTTAGTGCTCCATCTATATTTAAAAAAAAGTGACATCTAAAAAGAACATTCATGTGGTGAAACCACGTCTGGCAGGGAGGCGGCTTTATTCCCAAGGTTTTGTAAAAGGCCAGGCATTCGCACTGGGTGAGTTAGAACTGGAGTATGTATGTTCCTTGCTCCTTTCCATAAAGCTGGGCCCACTTCTGGTTTTTGTAATGTAGTCAACTGACAATAAACTTGTAACTTGTTACTAGAAGAATGGTCTTTTGTGAAAATGGACAATTCAGATGCACCTCAGCTGTGTGTAGGAGAGGTAGCTGGTAAGTACAGAAAGCCCTGAGGGACAGTGTGTTCTAGTTCAGAGGCAGTGCTGCTCAGAAAAGGTGGTACTGCTTTTGGGACTCATTGTGCAGCGCAGCAGAGATCTTCAGTTCCTCATCTGCAAAGCAGGGATAACACTGCCCTTGTACAGAGAGGTGGTGTGAGTACAGGATTGTCGAAGTGAAAGGAGCAAGCACTAGGATTACTTGAAGTCCAACATAAAAAAATAAGTTAAAGCACATTTTGGCCTCTAGATGGCATTTCCCAGCTAGATCTGCCTTGGAGCTTCGATCAGTCCCAAAAATGCTGTCTCTGTCCTTGGACACAGTTCCAGTGGAGGGTTACTCATCTTTGTGTGTGGAGGACTGTCAAGGTAAGAGGTGAAAGTAACAATCAGAAGGTACTACAGAAACAAGAGGCACTGGAAGTTCAAGTCTGCTGGATAAAAAGCAGCAGGCAATATGGTTTCCCTCACATGTCTGGTTAATACAAGAAGGATAAACCAGACATTTGTTTGTATGGGGTTAAGCATTTTCCCAGAGCTGGGCATGGAAAGAAGCATTGCATCATGCTGAAGTTGGTTTGACTTGGTACTCCCTATATAATTAGGTCAGTTCCCAGCTTTTCTTCTGGCAGGCTGACTAGCTTCTGTTTTTCAAAAGAGAAGTAAACAGGCATTGTTGCTGTAGTGCAGCCTGACACTGCTGTGCCTGTACCCCCGGCCACAACAGAGAAGGAACATAGCCTTTATCCATAGCCTCTCCTATCCCCAGTCAAGCTGCCTCCTCTCAACTCATTTTCTCATCCTAAAAAGCACCTGTGTAAGTCCCATCTTGTGTTTTCTGGGCAAGTCAATGAGATCCCTCTGTACTTTCCAGACTGATTTATTCATCATGCCACCTCTTCACAAACTATCTTGTGTGTGTGTCAGCAATCAAGCAGGAGGCTACAAAGCAAAATTGCCATTATCAGAATAATCTTCCAAATATCTAGGGTCAAATTCAGTTGCAGTCTATTGCTCTTAGTAATGCTCAACAGGAGCTGCTGAAGACTTCAAAGACTCCTGTAGCACTCTTGTCAAACTTCTTATCTCTCTCACTTTGCTTTCCTGGCTTTTTCTTACTGCAGCTCCTAATTTTGCTGATCTCAGATGGGTTTTGGTTTGACAAGCAGTGGGAGAGATAAAGGAGATACCTTCTTGTTGCTTACCCTAGAGAAAGGAGAGGGAGGGAAAGAGAGAAAGGAATAAAAGTGCTTTTCTAGGTTGAGTTAAGTTAACCAGGAACCCCATTTCCCATCTTACAGAGAGACTGCAAAGGGGATATATGCACGGGAGGAGTGCTACAATCTAAGAAATACATTTCAGTCTTGCCCTTAGTGTGGACGAAGCTCTTGTCCAGGTACCCCTCAGCGCCAGAGAAGAAAAAGGGTAGCTTGGTTGTGATTACTTGAAACAGGTAAGAGGAGCAATTGATGAAAAAGCAGGTCGGAAATTGTCTTGCATGTCCAGTGAGCAAAAAAGGCATGGAGGCAAACCTGAAGTGGATATGTAGGAGCTTTCAGGTAGAAGATAATGTTTGCATCATGCAAGCGTGTTGTTACCACTGTGGAAGCTCAATACCTTCAGTGACTTACAAATACAGGGACTTAGGATGCATTGCAGTGCTCAAATGCAGCCTTTTGTGAAACTGTGAAAGTGGCTCCTTTTGATTCAGTAGATCTTTGCATACGTTATTCAAATCTGCTGATGCTAGTGATCACCAAGCACAAGTATGAATTTCCCCACCTTGGCACTGCAGAGCCAAACATGGCCTGAGTGGGCTGGACTCTGCTCCTTGAGAGAATTGTTTACCAAGTTTCGCTAATGCTTGTGCAAGTCTTTGGGAAGTGCCAGGTCCACAGATGTAAGTGATGGTGCAACTTGGTCCTTATTATGGGAGAAGGAAAGCAACTTGTTTGCCTCAGAGCCCAGAAGCAGCTTGCTGAGCTGGTGATGAGAAATAAATAAGCATCTCCCTACTTGCAACAGAGCATGTTTGAGGTGTTTCTGTTACCTGATTGCACATGTTGTTTTACTGTCTTAGCAATGCCATCAGGCATTGTGGCACTTAGCCACAGCCTCTCTTTTGCCGTGTGTTTGCTGACAAGATCATTTTGTCTCAGCACTGAGAGCTCCTGACCTCCTTTGCAGGTGTGTCTTCGTGACCATGGGTGAGATTATTGTATTCTAGCACTAAGTAGTCAAGAATATACGATTCTGTTCTGCTACCTGCTATTAGGAAGGTGAGGTCTAGCATTTTGGCAGCGCTTTGTAATGACACCTCATGAAAAACCAGTTTGATTCCCTTGTAACAAATGGGTGTAGTGGTTTTACACCCTTCTACTCATCACAGCTCTGTTCAGTCTCTACTGAGGCTTTGGTTTTCTGTCACCTTGGCAAAGGCCCAAAGGATTGATGGGTTAGTCACCTTCCTTCCACCTTCAGTGCAAGGATGGGGGACAGATAGTTACACAGGAGAAAGTGTTGTCGAAAAAATGGGAACTGTTCAATGGAGTTCGGTGCTCTGGAGTGGTGTTGACTCGTTTTTCATGGCTAGAAAATATTCAAAAGAACTTTAAGAATACATTGTAGTAACTTCAAATACAAGCTGGAGTGGTCAGAGAGGCTGCAAGCCTCTGGGCAGAAGTCCACTGCAGTCATAGGAACGACAAGAATTGATATGCTACTTGGTACAATCACCTTCCCATAGAATTGGCTGCCTGGATATTGTGAGCAGGTTACTGCCTCAGAGACATCACTGTTTCTACAGGTATGTGTACTGCACCTCTGTAAAAGATCATACTGTAGAGTTACACATGCTGATTTTAAATGGGCTGTTTCTGGACGTGGTAGCAGTGTGCCCGTGGCAGAAGATTGCTTAGAGCAGGCTGATTTACCCTAGCAAGAAGAGACTACAGTATAGGCATAACTGCAGTTCACAGCCAGCTGAACCTGCTAGCCTGACCTTCTATATTGCTGTGAGCTTTCCTCCTCTTACCTCTGTATGGCTCATCTACTGGGGTTTGGCTAAGGGATCCCCTCTGGGACAGCTTCAAGAAACAGAGAGCTCATCTGTTGATGTTTCAGAGCGTTGGCAGAGTTTAATCTTCACTGCTCTTCCAAAAAAAAACCCAAACCAGCCCACCCCCAAACACAAAACTCTCATTGGAAAGTGTCTAGATTGCAGCTCAGTCCTCAGTTTTCCTATTTTTATTTCTTGTGTGTAAGTGCCCTTCATACTTGCCATGTTCCCTCCTGGATGGTTCCTTTTACACTATGGTTGTCACTTTTTTTTTTTAATTTTATTTTTTTTTTACCTAAATAGTCTGAGTCCTTTAAATCTTTTGCTGTTAGGCCTTCTCTCCAGCTTGTGAGTGGTTTCTGTGGCTGAAGCTTCCTTGTGTGATGTAATTCGCATGTCTTGCTGATCCCAATGATCTGCTTTGCAGTGCGCTAAGAATATAAGGAAGGCAGATAAAGAGCAGTGAAACAAGTATCAACCAGTGCTAACTGTGAAACATCTTTATGAGAGGTGCTTGTGCTTTTCTTGTAAAGGAGATTCAGGGAGAATCCATATCCTGG